TGTGTGTGTGTGTGTGTGTGTGTGTGTGTGTGTGTGTGTGTGTGTAACTGTCTGTTTTGTCCTTTTTCAGATGAAATTTGTTATGTTTACATGTATTATATGTTCTATAAGTTGTCAGTATATACTGAAAACTAATTGTAAAAATGTCGTTTCAAAAATAGTCTTAACTAGAGTTCCACTTTCAAGCTTTTTCCACAGCTTTCGACCACATATCACAGTCTTCCTCAGCAGATGCTTGTACCCTAATAAATACACACAGAATATAAATACAAACATATGATGCAAATATCAAACAGTTACTTCACATTAATACATCAACAGTGTATCAAACAAAAACCGATTTATCACGTTATTGTGATATCAAACCATTACTTTGCTATTTTTACTTCATTTTGAACTTTCTTTGGGAATTCTAAATTGTGTTAAACAATTTTGAATAATCAACATTTGATATTATTTTCTGCTCACATCTCATTTTCTGGTTCAAGCTGTGAACATAATTAGGTTTTCTATCAAATCTGATGGTGTGGGTGTGGGTGTGGGTGGGTGTACTGTACTTCTTCATACCTGAAAGCACACAACATACTACATCTAAAAATGTTCATCATTTCAGTCCCTGAGCAACTATATCAGTTTTAAAAGAATAATGACATCAGAAACTCTCCTGCAGTTTGCTCCCTCCTGTTTCAGTCTCATTATCTCCATGGCAACGAGCAGTGGCCCTGAGAAGACGTGAAAAGAGGGGTGTTTCAAGTCTTTAACAAGCCATCTGTCTTTGTCTCCATATATATGTGAATGTGTGTCATTTTTTGTTGATATGTGACTAATTATCTGATGCACAAGATGTCCTCATGTCACACTGTAGTTTGTGAACCTTTGTTGTACTCGGTGGCTTTAACAAATAGCCTTCAGTTATAGAAATAGTGCAAGGAAAAGCTTGAAGACAATAATTAAAGCTGTTATCCACAATGTATTTTAATGAGTAGATTATAAAGTATCTTCATCTTAAAGCACAAAAGAAATCCCATTTATTGTTGAACTTGTTCTGTCCTAGTTAACAGTGTTATTAAAGTTCATTCAAAATGGCTAGAGATTAGTTTCACCTTGTGGTTGTTTACTGTCATGCAGTGAATGAGCAGCAGAGGCAGGGAGAGTCGCACTTCGCTGGCATATCTTTTACCTTTGATTGAAGTAAACACTATACAGGGAAGCAGCATGCCAAACGTTTTTATACTTGTAGAAGATTTAATGAGTAGTTAGCTGCTGAAATAGTAAATTGGCTACACTGGCTGTGTCTGTACATCTGGAAGACAAATTAAGATGCTTTTGTTTCTATAAATAATACGACACATTTTTTTACATTGGATTCACTTCATGTGAGTGGAATGTGAAGTTTGGTTACTTTTAGCTATTCATTAAAACTTTTTTAAACGTGAAGGTAATTTAAAAGTACTGTAGTTTCTTGGTATTGTGTTGAATTTATATGATATGATGATATAAACCATGAGATAATGTGTCCCTGTCAGATTTGATCATACTCTTTACTGTAGTATCATCACTTAAATATCTCTGCCTGCATCAGGTCATTTTGGACAATATTGCAAATTACTGAGCAGTGAAGATGATTACATGGTACATTCCTGTAAGGTTACTTTATCCCATGTATATCAGTTTCCTGATATGGAATAATATGCTGTATACTGGGATTGTTATGTGTAGCTTGCCCAGCTCTAACTCTCTAACTCTGTTTGAATCACATTTCAGTCATAGTGAATCACACACAGTGAATATCGTGCACTTGATTCTGTGCTCATATTCCCTTTCTCTCCAGTCTGTTGAAAATAGACCAATAGGTGTTCGCGGTGACCGTGTTGCCATGGTAATGCCTTTTCTGTGCATATCATGTCTGAACAGGCCTATGGTGAGCCAGAATAGATCGCAGTGGTGGAAGCAGAAATAGACTCACAGGCGCATACATGTGTTATTTTCTGCCAGCGTAAAGCTAAACATAGTTACCGCAGGACAGTGAGGGCTCCAAGGCTGCGTAAAAGTTCTATTAATATCACTGTCACTACAAGAACCTCCAGTTCCACTGTTGACAGAATACCTTCAGAATAAGGATTTAATCCTTCTCTTTGCTAAAGTAAGTCAGCCTATATTCTATCTATATCCTATAGCCTATCTGCATAAGGGAAAAGATTAGTTAAGATTAGTCAGCTGTATGGTGGACATAGAGATTGGTAAACAAAGCCACTTATAGGCATTTTACTCTTTTCTCCTAAATCATTCTGATATAATTGATACTTGAAAACATGATAATCTCCTGTTATAGACTGCTGTATGATACTGTGTGTCACTAATTTTGATGTGTAGATACTGAATCCTAAATATACGTCGTAGAGGTATATTAAAATCCTTTTTTAATGTGTAATGACAGCTTTTTCAGCTTTATTCTGAGGTGACTCTAGGGTTAGAAGTACCATTTAAAACCTAAATCACATCATACACATCAGGATACTCCTTTCTTTCATCACTCTTAGGCGGTGTTATTGATTTATGATTGGCATAAGAGTGGCAAGACAAATAATGAAAGCTCCAAATTGTAAGAATGTATGAGAGACATGCTGACCTCTGTAGCACTGCATTCTAGTGTGCTATTTTTAGTGTGTATGCTGGTTTAAGTTGGAGCTGGACAAGGCTGGGGAAACTAGAGCACTGCAGCAGCAAGAGAGAGAGGCAGACAGACAGAGACAGGGAGAGAGGGAGAGAGAGACAGGAAGGTGAAATGAAAGACTCACTCTGTCTGCTCTGCTTCCTGCTGAGTCTCTGTCTCTCTTTGACTCCTGCGGCTCGAAATTGTTCGGGCTGCACTTGACTGTGTCCCTTCATGTCATGTGGACTGTAGAGACAAATGTGAGGCATTCACATCTGAATTTGGATTCTATAAATTTGAATAAATATCTTTGTTAACTAGGTAGATAAACCTTTCTTTTGTTTGCTGTGGTGATTTTCTCAGTAGACAGTAATGCGAGTTGGTTAACTGAGATGATTGAGTGGCTGAACAAATCATACTGGTAATATTTTCCAACTGTAGATTCTTTCTTTCCTCAGTAGTCAGTCTTAGCACTCACTTTCTCTTGAAGGCAGGAAGTTCCCACTCTTTCACTTCTCCCTCTATGCAGAGAAGGTCAACAGCTACTCTGTGTCCGCCCATCATTAGAATGCAGACAGACCACTGACCTCGTCCACTGCAGGAACAATGTCCTGCTGTGCAAATCTGTGCATTATTTGTGAAATATGAACCCTCCTACCTGCTATAATACTTCCTTACTAATACAGTGGTGATGTTTGGCTCAGTGTTTTATTCTGATGATTCACCTGTGATGCATCCATCACCTTGAAGGCTGCCCTAAAATAACCTCTTGAACCATGTGTGCACACACAAATACAGACACACACCAGGAAAGCTGAGTGTGCTACCAGTGTGGTGACAGTGGTTTCCTCTTCCTCATTCTGTTCTCTGTCAGTGTGCAGTGTATTGCTGCTTTGTGTGTGTTTGTTTTCGAAGTGAGGATATAGAATAGTTTCTAGTGCTGCTTTCTTCCAATTTTTCACCCTGTTTTGCCTCCCTCACCCTGTGTGACCTGGAGTGTGAAACAAAGGCAAGTCTTTTCAAGGCTGATGGTTTGTCTGTGAGCTGTTGTGCATGTGTGTACAGTATGTAAGGCTTTATTTGTTTTTGGATCCATAGTGAACACCAACTGTGTTGTGTGTATTGATATCACTGTACCTCTCTAATGTATTTAAAGAACACGGGTCTCTCTGAGTAGTTAGTAGCTGTTGGCACATTGATTTTACAGATCAGAATCAAAGTTTAGTGTCTGTGTTTAAAGACCTTTCACTACTTATTGCTACCAGTTGCACAGCAGAAACTCAGCTTTTCACTGACATTGCTACTCAGTACCGCAGGGTCTGCACCTGTTTCTAGTGGACTAGGTGTGCAAGTCTTCTTAAACTTGGTTGTAATGGAGCTATTTGTAAGTTTTGCTATTGCTTCAAAGCAACTGTTTATTTACCAGTCCAGAGGAAACGTTGCGAGTTCAGCATCAAACTTCATTCCTTTACTCACCAACAGCAGAGAGAAATGCCAATGTCAACTCTTGTCTTTATCACATGTTTTCTTCTATTGAAGTTAGCATGCTAACCAGCTAGCTGTGGCCTGTCTTAAAGGGGAACGTATTATAACCTTGTCTTGTAAACACAACTATGGCTGAAGCTCTTGTCAAGGGAACCACCGGCACCTGCTTCCAGCAAGAGACCATGTTCAGCAGCAGAGAAAAGTTACAAATAGCTCCATCAAAATGCCTGATTATAATGCTTCATAATACATTTCCAGATTGTGTGTGATGATAGATTACACATATTAATGTTGTTAAAATATTTTGACTGTTAATATTCTCGGGATGGTGATGAGCAGACGATCACCTGTTAGATTCTCACACTTGCAGAATAAATGTGGGTGGGGAAAGTGAAAGAGCAGCACTTGCCCCTACCTCATTAGCACCACTGAAGCAGTCTTGAGCAAGGCCCTGAACTGCCCAACGCCCCTACTGCTTCTTACTCTCGGTGGCCAACTGATCAGACTGTGGTTGTACGGGTCAGCTTGAATGTGTGTAACTGTGTCATGGTTGCATTCCCCCAGTGTCTTGCTCTCAATGAAACTTCTCTAACTATATGATGTTGAAATAAAAGAAGTGGCAGAAAGAAATCTGAATTTTCATTCAGTGTCTTAAAACAGAAACAAAAGATATGTCAATTACAGTACCACATTGTGTGTGTGCCATTGAAACACAGTTTTAAGTGCTAACAGAGAGCAGAAAGGGTCAGAACAGATGTTTAACCAGCTGAGACTCAGCAGAATCAGGCTCTGTCCAGACGATTCATGAACAGCTTATTCAGATTTACCTCTTTTACCTTGTGTATTTGTGTGTGTGTCTCAGGATGAGGTGGACAGTCAGAACCCAGTGTTAAGAGACAACCCTCAGCTCCATGAAGAAGTGAAGGGCTGGCTGAAAGACCAGAAGGTGCAGGAAATTTTCATGCAAGGTGAGTTTTTATTATTCTTTTTATGTTGTGAAATATAAGTTTGTAGATTGCATCATTATCACAGTGTATTGTGTATCATTGTAAAACATTATGGCTGTTGTTTATTTGTTAGAGTTTTTCTCAATACTATTAGTTCATCATGTTATGAATCACCTCATTACTGTAAGTAGTAGTAAGTAGTTACAACATGAGGAACCTGCACTAAAGTCTTCAGCTGTGGGAACATAACATTGTGACAGTACTGTTTCCTGTTGCTTCCAGGTCCCTATTCGTTGAATGGCTACCGTGTACGTGTGTATAGACAAGACTCGGCCACCCAGTGGTTCACTGGCATCATTACACACCACGACCTCTTCAGTCGAAACATGGTCGTTATGAATGACCAGGTACACGCACGCACATACACACACAGTTTTCACCATATGTCTTTAAAATGTGTGGATACAGTTTATATGTTACTGTACAGTAATATACTATTATTTAATGGATAAATAGATAAATAATTAAGTTTAGCTGATATGGTTTTACTCACACTAAACTAAACAGGACAATTCAAATACATTTTTTATGTCTTCTAAGCAGTCTGAGGAAAAGTTATCGCCACCTGCGATGTCTATAGTTACCATAGTTACAGATGTTGTTGTTTATTACCAGGTTAGCAGAAAAGTCACTGTTTACCAGAATGACAATAAAGCTGCAGAATGACTTTCTCAGTGAGTCCAGTTGTCAGCCCCAAACTTTCTGTTGTTCCCTCTGACTGGTGGACTGCAGATACTTGGTTCATTCCCCTGTTCACTGAAACACACAACTCAAACTTAAGATAACATTAATGCAGTAATATTTCTGTAGTGAACCTCTAGAGCTGAAAGCCGACTTTGATCCTGTCATCATTATACTAATAGCCCTGGAATGTTATACTAAAATTAGCTTATATCTTTGTAAATGACAGTTTTCATGTTTTTTTTTCTTATTTTTCAGTGGGATTGTAGATGATACATTTGTTTCTTAACATTAGCTAACATGTGCTCAATAATGCAGCAGGTCAAAAGGCTTTTGGGTGATCGAGGGAACTGTTTTACTAGTCAGGAGCTACACTGCATGATTCCACAGATACATAAAGGTCATTGAAGAAGACTTTGCATTAAAACAGTATTCAGTTTATTTTTAATAAAGCCTTTGGTTTTAATATTTTTTTTGTTGCAGAAAAAAGGTCTTCATTGAATATTTTATCATAGTTTTTGTTAAGGAAATTTACACAACTGAAAGGTTGCATTAGATCTAATACATAGAGTAAGTGAATCTGATATGTGTTCAGGTGCTAGAGCCTCAGAATGTGGATCCATCCATGGTCCAGATGACCTTTCTGGATGATGTGGTCCACTCCCTTCTGAAAGGAGAAAACATCGGCATCACCTCCAGACGAAGGTCACGATCCAGCCAGAACAATAACACTGCCCACGTGAGTACACACAAAACACACACAACGGCATATGTGCACAGCTGTTAAAAGCTTCCTAACATTAGCTGTCAGTGCTGCTGAAAAGGGTGAACACATTTTAAAATATTGACCTGTGTAACTGTCTGCAGAAGGCATCAATGTACTAACAAAAAATGAAGAAAATTAAGTCTTCTGCAGAATTAATTCTATTTGTGACCAATTAATAACCAAATGATATATACTGCTCCACTGCTTCACTCTGCATTAAACAAATAACAAGCCTCACTCACTAAGATGCTACCCATTGGAAATGGTAAAAAAAAAAACTGAAAATCAATATGATGCAGTCAGTGTTGATCCTGTGGCCACAAATAAATCTGTGTATGGGAAACTAAAATGTAAAAATATTTGATTATGACATCGTGGCGGACAGCACAGTCTAGGTAATTAATGGAAAACAGTCTCATACATAGAATGAAAAAACTGTAGCTTCGTGTGCAGTCAATGCAGTTTGCATGACACGATACTGGCTGGAAGTAAGTTTAAGAGAAAAAAACGCTGTCCTGAAATTCAAATTAATCCTCAAATCAAGCAGAATTTCATGTTCCATCAACAATTAATGCAGGTTATTTCATTCTGTCATCAAACCACCATCAGACCTCTGTCCAAAGAAGGATGAAGTGAACAAAACAATATACTAAATACAGTATATAGGAAAAGTGTGATTTTGTCCAGATGAGATCCATGTATCATTGACAGGTGATGGTCCCTTTATGTTGCTAAAGAAGAAGAGGACAAAGACAACACATGTCCAGTTTGGTGAAAATGAAGATTTATTTTAAAAAGACAAACACTCTGTTTCCCATTTTTCACATACAGACTTCAAATGGATTACATGTATTTAGGCCTGCACTTAATCTGCAGCTTATTCTCTTGAGTCATTAAATAGTCCGAGACTGTTGAACTACTCTGTTTGATCGAGCTGAATGCAGCCAGAACACAGCCTTTGTTGTTGTGTTTCTGTCAGTGCGGGTGGACAATGCTTGTTTCAATTTGTCAAGCACTCATCTACATTATGTGTGTTTATCTGTTTGTTTCAGAGATATTGAACCACATAGCTTCCCAAATCGGTTATCATGCACTGTTCCAAACTAGGAGAATTTCATTGTATCTTCAATCTATGAATTCTTTCTTATTACTGTTAGTCCCATGTCTGCTGTCTCATTGTTTCTGCTTTCGCTCTGTTTCCCAATGGAGATAGCTTTAAAGTAAAAGGCGTTCCTATGTGCTTTTGATTTATCTTTACATTAAAAGTCAACACACACAGACATACACTGTTGTACTGGTTACCAACTGGCTCCTTTCATGTTACAGCGCTCTTCAATTTGGCAGATGTAGTCAGAACACTGTTTAGACTTTGGTTTTGTTTGGTCAAAAATGATGAGACGTCCTGTGTATGAAAGGAGCTCATTGGTGAACCGGTCTGTTGAAAACTCAGCCAGTCATTTCTGGTCCCGCAGTCATTAACAAAATCTCTCCTTGTCCCACATTTTCTTTATATTCATTTCATTTTGTTATTTTCTTTTTCTTGTTAACACGTTAAAGATGGCAGGAGGGAGACCCGGCGGGACCACTGGCAACAATCAGGTACCCCCAACCCCCCACCCACCCCCACACCCACTTCACATTCACCTCATGCCCACCTCACACCAACCCCCAAACCCACTAACCCTCCATAACCATGTTTTCCACAATATTGTACAAATGAAGACAGAGTCAAACTGACAGACATAACCTGTGCTTGTTTTATCAGTAGTAGTAGTAGGACTAATTTATTTTACATTTTCAGCGCACCAGGCAGCTGATGATCCAACCACTGGTTTTCTTTGAGTGCCCAGCGCACAAACTCAAATCTGAACACTTCCTCCCAGCTCACTGTTGATTTCCTGAAATGTAGCTGTGATTCAAAACATCAGTACTGAGCTTCAGGGTGATTTGGTGCACTGTAACAAAACTGGAAAACATACACCGATCAGCCATGACATTAAAACAGGTGATTGGTTTTAATGTTGTGACTGATCTGTGTATTTTTTGACTGAGTCGAGCCATGAAGCTGTGGAAAATAATTCAAACTACAAATTTAATTTAGTTTTAAATCGAATTGCTAATGGTTCAGAATGAACTCTTAAAACAGATATATAGACAAATCAGCCACAACAATAAAACCAGTTCCGTGTTTTAATGTTATGGCTGATTGGTGTATTTTTAAACTCAGAGTGGCATGAGAGTGTCCACATCGACATGTCCATGAACCAGCAGGCTGAGCTGCCTCAAGTTCATCCATCTTCACTGTGTCACTGCTTATTGGCAGGAAATCTCCACACAGGGAGATTACATAAGAGATTAATTCAGAGTTAAAAAAGAAAACCGCAACTGCTTCAGACAGCAGGTGCTCCTAGAATATAGAATCAGCATTTTATTCCATTTCCACTTTGGTATCATTTGCTCATCAGTCACCAAAAGACATCATTAAATTCTCAGTCTATCTGTAACCTTTACAGATTTGTGAACCCGTATCTGCAAAGTGCAGCCTTACAAGTTGATGACAAATGCAGAATCTTTTTGCTGATACAGCACTTGAATGAACACATGACATACGTTAAAAAATACTTAAAATGACCAATATCAGGCTAGTAGTAAAACAGTATACGATTCTTCAAGCACTCTTCATGTCTTCAGTATTTGTATAATTAACTCTTTCTCTGACCTGTGTATCTGTTTCACTTTGGTTTAACATTTTCACTTTGACACATCTGTTTCTCTTAACATGTGTATCAAAAACTTTCCTAGTAGTCAACATAAAATAACTTTGTACCAGTTTGAAAAAAGATTTTGAGAATCATCAAATGAAAATCAGTCACAAAACAATATCAGTGTGTGCTCATAGAACACAGTGTAAGGATGCACACTGTCGGCCACATGCTGCAGAGGAAAATACAAAGTGAAATATTAATTTTAAAGAGTAACTATGCCCCAGCAAAAACATCCTGCCCACATTGCTATCTATTTTTTACTGAATCCTCTGTCTCTTCCTCAGCCTGAGCAGTACAGCTTTCACAATGACAAAATGCTACTTCACAGCTGGGTGTGGTCACAAGTTCACAAACCACACGGGACCACTCTAGCTGTGGAGATGGGTGTTGAGGTCAGCGCAGTGATCGTTTAGTGTAGTGTGGAGTTTCTCTTTGACTCCAAGCCCTGAGATCAAGTCCTGTTTGTAATGGAGGTAACACCCCATAGCCTGTCCATCTCCTTCAGTAGCCCAGTGCAAGATGAGCTCAGTGTAAAAAGTGAGGATCACAAAGAGTTAAAGTGCTGCTCTGACGTTCATAAATAACTGGGATTTAACTGAGCTGATCAGAACTCATCTCACTGTGCTGGATACTCTAGGCTTTTGGAACAGCCAGTGATACATAACCCATTTGCCCAGGTACCAGTACCTACTACGCATTCTTTACCCCACTGTAATTTCCATCTGGGCATTAGCCAAGGTCACACTCACAGGCTCATTTAACAGTTCACCCTGCAAATTTTCAGCATGCTTGAAAATGAGTGGCATGTCCCAGACAGGCTCAGGAACACAGGACAGTAACTACACAGAGTGGCACGCTGACCTTCTGTCAGCAGGGAGCTGAGAAGTCTCCATAATAACCCTGCAGATGTTGTCTTCTACGTGTACTGAGAGGCTGGCCTAACTGTGTTCTTCCTTGTGATGCATCATCATCGAGCCCTGCATTACTCACCCCGGTTAACAGCATCGTACGAACATCAAAACACCTACTGTTGTGGGTGACCTGGTCAAGATTTGTACTTGACTTATCTGGGCTATAGGAAGGCATAAATGTTATCAGAGGCATGGAAAGCTTACTCTGCCTGTATTAATAACAGATGTAATTATATAAATTTGTCTGTGAATTAAGTGGCTCAGGTTGGTGTTTCTGACTTATTTGGATTTGCAGGATCAGCATCAGTCAATCCCTTTCTCTTTAAAAAAAAAAGATCCTGTCCATGCAGCAGCACTTCCACAGTCTGCCATCGCTACTCTTACACCTCCTTTACTTCACTCATCTGGTCGCATTATTGGAGCATATTCATGAGGACGTTTCTTAAAATACAGATTTAATGTTTGTTTCCTCTAAATTATCTCATAGTTAATATGACTACAATCTTGCAAAGAACTGATGTAAAGATTTGAATGTTTTTCTTGATTACATGCAGCACAAATTACTACTGTACTTGTGCAACAGAAAGCTTGACATCTTTCTCTGTCTAGCTCCAGCAGATAAAACTTAGCTCTATTGTAAAAGTGTAAAGTTCCACCTTCACTAATAATCTAATAATGTGTTCAGTTTTATTGCTTGGAGGCTAGATGAAAAAGGTTTTCCCTGGTGGCCTAAAATGTATTGCACCTACAAATTCTCTGCAACATTGTTGAAAACCAGCTTGAACTATGTTCACATACAAAATACAGTAACATGCCATAGGAACTCTTTTAGATTAAACAGATTACATTAACAATAGGAAGTGTTTTGTTGTTCTGTTAGTCACACAGTGCAGTCAGGTGTCTGGATACTTTTCTTGTCTCTGTACAACAGATTGGAAATGAAACACCTAACATGAGGATATCTCCACTGTAGAGATCAGAAAGTAATTGGATAATTTATCAAAGAATTTAACTAAATAATGTGTAATATTTGGTGTGGCTTTTTTTTTCTTGGTCTCCAGCAGTGAAACACATGATCACTTCACTGGAGGTCAGGTGACTAACTTGGACAATGAAGAACATACCTTTAAAAAAACATTTGTGGTTGCTTTATTCTGAGCCTAAAATGTATGTATGAAATTGGTTGCATGACATACTTTCTCCAGCGTGAACAAGTAGAGTCAAAACAATGAAAAACATATTGTTGTCCAAAGACTTTCTGACTGCACTGTACATATCCACTTTCAGTTTGTATTTCTAGTCAGTCATTTGTGTATGTAAAAGAATATCCAGTGTCCCTCACTCATTTGGCATTGATGAATGTTTGGGTCAATTCATACACAATTCAAATGGTATAATTTCTTTCTCCTTTTCTATATTCGGTAGCGTTGCTGCCCCTAATAAGACAAACTGGTCAGAATTTTCATTTCATTTATCTGACCCAAACTTTGGATTGGCTGTCTCCTCCCCTGCTTTGTGAATCAAGAAAAATGTAGCTGAATAGTCATAGAGAGTAAAGACCACTGCTGTGTAGGTTTCCAAAGCAGGTTTATTCAGTGGCTCAAATGTGGATACAGTCACTGGAAGACTGATATGTTGATATATCTGATGTAATATCATCCAGCTGCCACTTACATACAACAAGGGGACAGAATACACATCCCAATATACACTCTGTAACCAGTTTATTAGGTCCACCTAACAAAACCTCATGCAGTGTAATGCAACAGTCCTGCATTAAATCCTCCCATCATGAAGGTTATAATGTTTGGTTTTTGTTGACATGCTGATTCAACTGTACGGTCATTTGGGATGTAGTTTATGGTTCAGTTGAATGGCTGTGGGTTACACTGAATGTGTTTCTAAGTAGTAGACAAAAATACCAGAAAAGCTCTCAGTACTGATGCCACAGCCTCTAACAGCAGAACATGTGCTATCTATGGTATTCATGCATTATTTCTGACTAGAGAGGAAGCTGATTTCATGTGAGCTGTTACAGAAAAATTTTCCCTCTGCAAGAGACACATGTTGTGTAAAAAGGTTATTGAATAGAAGGACTACCACATCTAAGGTTAAGTTTATTTGCATTCCTTTCAGTAAATATCACATCACTGGATATCAGCGATCATTAGGCAAAGATGATTAAGATGCCATTGCTGTGCTCAGTCATGGAGCCCTCAGGCTTCACAAGGTTTTGCAGTGATCATGTTATAAGTGAGGATGATCATATTTTAGAAGTTCACTGGAGACTTGAACAACTGGCACTGGGATTACTGTGAGTTCTGTTGTGAGAGGATGCAGTGTTTGTAGTGATGGTAGAAACAGCTTGTTGTGTGGAATGAACCTGAAGTCCTATTGATATCGATGGACATGTCAGTAACCTTTTAATAGTTATTATTTAGTGTTTGTCTTGTTTTCATTACCTTAGCAGTGTACTGTAGGATGGTTGTGTACCTTGTTTTTCGATCCAGCTGTCACCAGTGCCCAAGGGTGAGCTTTAGTGAGGATATTTTTTTAGGCTAATTTTGGCATATAAAAAGTGAAGAGGGTCAGTATAGCCTCATATACATATAATTCCCTTAGTTTAACCCTGTATCTACAGCATGTAGCTCACTGTTATATGTTTATTGTGAATTGATTCCAATTTTCAATATGGTGACATTACAGCAGGACATCAATAATGTAATACATATAGTCACCAGCAGCACTGAATGCAGCCTCCAAAATTATCTTGAAGTTGAATCAACACAGCTCATAAACAGTATCAACACAAACCAAACATTAAAATCTCCATGAAGGTTGGGGTTTTTGAGGGACTGTTGGATTTGGCTGGATTAGTTTCAGACTGGAGGATCTAATAAACTGGGTGTAGTTTAAATCCAATATAACACCAGTTTAACTGTAAGATTCACAATTCACAATGATAGTTGATTTACTGCAGGGTGGTCATGTTAGGTTGCATGAGATTGTAGAGGTGTACCTAATAATCTGGTAACTGAGTGTAACATCACTATAATATTTGTTATTGTCATCACTGTGTTTGTCTGCATGTTCTGACCTTTGACTTTTCTTATACTTACAGAGTCATTACACGCGAGCCCAAGCCAACAGCCCCCGCCCCATCATGACTTCATCAGGCCCCAACCCAAAAGGTTCCCAGGGGACGCTGGCCTCCCAGCAGCACAGCCAATTGCAGCAAAGCCAGCAACCAGCCAGCCAATCACACCACTCACCCAGCAGCAGTGGACGGGAGCAGAGAGAACAGCGCAACTCTCGCTCATCCAGGAGGAAAGGATCAGACAGCAGCGTTCCAGAGGAAGACAAGGACAGGAGAGAGGAGAGCACAGGGAGAGGTGAGGACAGTCACCATCAAACCCTGCTGGAAAGGTTCTGTATTCAGCACTGACATTGTAGAGATTTCTTCTGCTCTTCTTTTTCCAATACAGAATTAGAGTGGATTTGACTGGAATGTTTACTGTTTATTAATTAATAACATTTAGAACATTGATTTCTTTTACATGTTCATGGTGGTTTTCCAGTTAGATGTTGCTCTTTAGCTGGCGTGGGTTCTAAACCCCCCCCCCCCCGCAAACCTCATGGATAAGCAGTATAGCTAATGGGTGGTTGGATGGATGTTGCTCTCCATTGTCAAGTTTCTTTACTGCCACCAGCAGTGTGTCACAGTCGGCGCTAATATAAACATTATGGTTAATTGTTACAGAGGAAAGTTTCTTTCACCACAGAGAGGATCTTTGGCTGAGCACAAACAGCAGCTTGTAGAGAGAACATCAACAGAAAACAGCATTTCACTTTGTTTCATTTTGGCCTGTTGGGAATTAACTTATGGCAGGAGATGTAATATGCTGCCATTTGTCATTTTAACCACCAAAATGCCAAGGCCAACACTGGCTAAAAATAAGAAGCCTGCTAGTGGATTGTTTTATTGGCAAAGAACAAGGAGACACAAAAGATCTGGTTAACCGTGGACCTTAGTGAATTAAGGTATTTTATCAACCTCAAACTAGAACTAAGCTGGGTATACACCCTGCTGCATAAATTTCATATGAATACAGAAAAGTGTCAGAAATTAGGCAGTGAACTGTCTGTGATTGTGCTGTAGTGATCAGTGCATCACAGGCAATAACAAGGATTTGTGAAATGTTCACAGAGCAAATCAACAGTAAAGAAGTGGTCATCATTTGGTTTTGTGTCTTTTATCCTGATTTTACTGTGTAGAGTTGAGCGGTTTCATGCCACTGCTGCATTACATTGCACTTTGCTAGTTCTCAGTTATCACAGGAAGAAATGGAAGTTTCCACAAGGCAATAATCTACATAATACCCAAGAGAAGAGAGGTAAATACAGGAAGCCATTTGAATGATGCCAGGCTGTTCTCACAGAAGAGATTCAATTGAGATGCAGAAACTTAAATTCACAATCTTGGATTTGAAAATATATCAGTTTATCCCCATTAATGGTTGTACACACCACAGCCTCCAGATATGATTCATAGGGATTTGTAGTGATCTAGGTTCTCTGATTCACTCTTTCAAACACAAAATAATCATCACTGTTTTGCCAAAATTATTTCTGGAGTAAATTTTTATTTCTGATAGTCAGTATAATAGAGACTACTGCAGAGTAAAAAACAGCTACAAGCAACAGGATTCAAGTCAAGAATGAGGTGAGAGTAAACAAACCGTTTCTGTTAATTTTTCCAGACTCCAAGTCCAAGGTGAAGCAGGCGGTGAACAAACGTAGAAAGGGTGAGGAAGATGAGAAGAAGGCAGGATTAAAGAGGCTGAAGACTGACATGACGTCTGATCTGTCAGAGAGCAGTGACTCAGAAAACCCACACAACAAGAGGACTGCCCACTCCTCCTGCTCCTCTTCCTCCTCATCGTCTTCGTCATCCTCCTCCTCGTCCTCTTCCTCCTCCTCAGAGCCCAACTCTGAGAATGAACTTAAGACTCGCACCAGTGATGTAAAACCAAGTGGGGTTTCCAAAATGGAGGAAGACGAGAAGCCGCTAATACAGGGTGCCAAAATGAACAGTTCCTCATCTCTCATTGGTCGGCTGTCCCCATGGGTGGAGCTTCAAGCAGCAGAGGAGAGCAAGAAGGGTGTGGTTAAGGAAACGGGCAAAATGATAATGAAGGAGGTAGAGGAATTGGTCGCAGTAACACAGATCACCCAGTCTCCACGGCAACAGTCTCTGATTCCTGACACCATCCAGGGCAGCATTATGGAGAGCAGCAAGAACACTGTGAAAGGTACAGTCAGCTGATGCATGGCAACTGTCATGAATATGACAAGTATGAGCAGAGTTAACATTCTTATTGGATTTTTTCTATTTTTTTTCTTTTTTAGCATCTTCTCGATCCCAGACCCCGCTGTCGTCCCACCTCCATGGCAGTGGTGTGATCGACATCACAGATGACGCCCAGGCCACAGTGCACCGCGAGAGTTCAGAGGCAGTGTCAGCGCTGCTCGCCTCCCAGAAGGCTGAGTCCACTGCCCTCTCACCTTATCTTCCCCTCAACCCCTCCCCCGTCTCCTCACCTCCCATTCCACCCTCTCCCTCACCATCAGAGGGAGGCCGCAGGACAGATATTGAACCTCCCATGCATCAGCAGCAGCAGCAAGGCATAATAGGAGTTGGTGTGACAGCAGCCAGGAGCTCAGGCAGCAAGATTGAGTTTGCTCCCTCTGAGGTCATCAGGTGAGAGCAGAGGTCTTCGATTCAAAGAACTTAATTCGTCCTCAGTGGATCAATGTAAAAAGTGTGTATGTCTTAAAGACAGCTTCTGAATATTACAACTCAAGCTGCTTCTTGAATGTGGTGAGTGGGTGGCAAATGTGTTTTTTAAATAGACCATGGGGTCACCAAAAGATCTCAGTCTCTGTAACAGATGATGAGTCTGTTACAGAGACTGGAGGTCTTTTATTATTGATTGTCTTTAATAAGATACAGTATGTTACTCAGGGAAATCAGGGTTATGCAGGTAATTGGAGAACATGTTAAAGCCCCTTTGAGACAGGCCCTTTAGGTTCATTTGAAGACAATTAAACATGTCAGCCTCTTGTATAGATAAGCAGCCTGATGACTCTTAGATAGAAGTCACAACAACCATGTCTCTCAGTCAGACCTGTAAAAACTGTTTTCCCCTCCTGTGCACCTGGAGCTGAAGCCTCATACAATAACAATGTGACCAACAGTCTCTGCTTGTATTTCTAATGTTCATCCATGCAACTGTGGATGAATAAATTAATGTTCAAGAAAACAGTTCATGCATCCAGCATGTGAGCAAACAGGAATTAAACTAATTAAAGTTCCACCTTAACGTGCTTGTATGTACAAGATATTATAAAACAGGCAGCAGAATTTGCTTTCTAATTACATGAAAGGATGGAACTGTGCAGTGCAGTGAAGACTCCTCACACAGTAGTGAGAGTACTGTTCTTCCTTTCTTGGACTGATGCATGTCTCCAAACTGAGAGGGACTGTGTGTAGTTTAAATAGGTGGCACAGCAGCAGTAACTTCATTCATTATGTAAATCTTCTGGTGTTGGATTGTACTCTAACTGTAACCTCATTAACGCAAATCCTTTAATGCACAGCAAAAGGATCAGCCGATACACACAGATACACACAGTGAATCAGTGAGTGCTGCACAATCAAAGCTGTTGGTTTTTTCAGTTTTGCTCCTTGAATGCAACATTATTTGCAGTTTTTGCATTACTGCAATTAAATAAAATAAAGCAAAAGATAATAATGAGCCTGATGATGAAAACAATATTCATTGTGACCCTGTAAGCAGATATGTAGTTGCATCAATGCAAACGTATGCATATTTGAACAGGAATGTCAGTGTTTCATGAACCATAAAATCAGTGAGAAAACAAAGGGCCATCTGCCACTGCCAGTGTATTTGGCTGTAGGTCTATACATTCTTGGTGTTTTATTATTATCTTTTCAGACTTTGAGGTGCTTCATCGAAGTGAACTTTTTTTTCATTGTGAATTCACTAAAGTTGCTCATCAAAAGAGGCAGTGATGGGGTAAAATCATATCACTTTTTATTTATTATTTTTGCCAATTTAAAATAGTAATTTAAGATAATCCTGAATATAATCCTGTACATATTAAAATACCAGTTCTTCTGTGCTTTTTTTCAGGCCTGTCGCATCAATGGCTGATAACGTCGTGCTGGTGGAGAAGGAGAAAACCGTCCTTCCTCATCATCATCTTCATCATCATCAACAGCAGCAGCATCATCAGCCACACACACAACAACAGCAACACTACACATCTATCCACCCCGGCATTAAGAGCCCGTCTTTATCTGAAGAGACGAGAAAACATCCACAACAACAACTGCCCCCCCATAAGATGAACACAGTCCTCCCACCTGACTTAGCCAAATCCAAAATGAGCCCCAGCCCAAACCCCAGCCAACCTCAGCTCGACTCCCTGAAACAGAAACCCCAGCACCCCAACAACTCTCAGAGCCACCCCTACCCCAACACACACCCAAATGAATTTCTCAAAGTTAAGTCCCAGCCAGGCCTGCTGGACATCTCCAAACCCAAACCCAACACCTCCCCGGAGGTCTCTAAACATAAAATACCAAGGTACTCTGATACCTCGCCCCCTCCGACAGGCCGTTTGTCTGCTAAAGTAGAAACAGTAGAATCTGTGCGGTCTGGTTTTAAGCCGGTGCCGGCGCGGCCTGAGTCAGTTGGAGGCGGTGCAAGCGGCAGCACCAAGAGCCCCCTGATAATCGATAAGAACGAAACCTTCACTGTTTACAGGGACCCAGCACTGGTCCGCTCCGACACAGAGAACTCTGCTGCAGCCACCGTCTCTTCCAACCACGTGGCAGCCTATCTCCACCCCCACCTGCACACCCTGCACTCCCCGTCCCCCCACTCCCCCTGCCTCACCCCTGCATCCCACCCCCACGCCACTTCCCACCTCCTCGCCGCTCCTCACGCCTCTGCCCTACCTCATCCGCACCTTTTACCCCCTGGGGTGCTCCCAGCTATGCCTCCTCCCACAGCATCTCTCCTTGGGGGACACCCTCGGCTTGACTCCCCTGGCGGGTTGGGCCACCTCGGCCTACCTCACCCAGCAGCCGCACACCAGCAGCAGTTTCTACAGGTCTGACTCCAGATACCTACACACCATTTAAAGCTGCACTAGGATGGATTGTTCTGTAAAACATCGTGTCAAAAAGCTAAAGTAAAAAATGTTTTTGTTTTCAGGGTCAGGGCCCCCCTCCACCCCCTCTACTAACCCAGGCTCACAGCGGGGCAGCAGGGCTGGGCCTGTACCCAATTCTCTGGCAGTACCCCAATGGAACACCAACCTCCTACCCCCCAGGACTCAACCTTCCCCCCACAGCTAAGTGGGTCCACCCTGAAAATCCTGTCACCGTGAATTCTGAGGCATCTCTCAGGAGGGTAGGTGTTTTCATGTTTGCATGTGTTTGTGTGTATTTAGGAGGGAATGTACATGCACATGTGATTTTGTCTTTGTTTGATAGTTAACTGTGTTTATCTTGGAACAGGGACAACAGTGGAGGAGGGACAGAGGGTGAGATGTGATGGAGATCATTTGTCAGCCAGGGGGAAGATGTAGCTGGGCTTTCTTATAGTCTCGTAAAAATTAATTGTTATGCCCTCTCAATGGTTTTTGACATGAACGCTGGATGTGATAACATTTGACACTAATGTACCAACTTAGTAAAAGTTAACTAAAAATTTTTGCATGCTGCCGCAAAGGAAGTGATGAAGACGCAGGCGAACTTCAACAGACTGCAGTCCCACATTCTGTCCTTCTGACCATTTTGCCAAACTATTACAATAGAGCTTCTATGTGCTCAGTCAGCAAATACCAACACAAAAAGTGTCTGTCTTTAGTCAGAACGTTTGAAGATGGTACATTGACACAGAATTAACTGAATCTGTGGCTCAAACAATTTTAGTTTGAAATATTTAATAAAACTGACTTTTACATGAATATAGGGCTTCGACTCATAAATCTTAAAAGGCCTCTATTTCGTCAAAATACACAGGGGTTGTTCTTTTCTGTTCACTGTCTATGGAGGAAATCTTACATGACATTGCTACACTGAACTCAAAGAGACTGATAAAAATTCAGTCCTTTAAACTGGTCTGTACTCCCATTAGGACTGTCCTTTTTATTGATAGGGAAGTAGAGTCACCTGTATAAGCATGTATTTGTTATGTATTACGCAGAAGTGTAGTAACAGCTGAAACGAGTTATTGCACAGCTATGTGTGTGTGTGTGTGTGTGTGTGTGTGTGTATGTGTGTGTGTGTGTGTGTGTGCGTGCATGCGTGTGTGTTAGATCACTGATAAGGGTGTGCTTGTATCTTTATCTGAAAATAATTCACACCATCCAGCGGGTTAGAGCTGAGTGTCCATAGTTTAAGACAATGTTGTTGAATGAGCGTATAGGTGTAATTTATCATGATAGTATCTTTACTGTGTGTGTTTGCACTTACTACATACCTGTCTGTAGTTGTGTAATTCAGATTTATTATTTTAATGATGTTGTGTTTGTGTGTGTGTGTGTGTGTGTGTGTTGTGTGTGTAGAACACAGCCAGTCCATGGCTGCACCAGGCTGCTGGGAACGCTGGTGAGGGTCTGGGTTTGCTGAGCCACGTCCCTGTTCGGCCAGCAAGCGCCGACGCCCACCGCCCCCCTGTCAAGATCAACACACACACAAGCCCTCCACTGTCAAAGACCAGCATGGATGTTCATAAAGAGTGAGTCAGAAATGGCTTAAACTGTAAAAGTACCATCAGTCTACAACAAAACAAGTGCGAAATAAGTAAATTCCTAGATGAAGTCAAGAGGAATTTAAAAGAGGACTATTGAACATGTGTATGGGTGTTATTTCACACATTTCTAACATTAGATTATGTTCAGTCCAGCTGGAGCTGGTCAGTGCAGCTCTCCAGTGTGCAGAGAGTCACAGACTCAGTGGGAGCATGAGGCATTCCCTCAGTCTGTAGTTAAATTAAGCACTAGAGAGTTGGACTGAAAGAAACTCCGCAGGAGAAAGACGGGCCACAGAATATTTGCTTTGGACATTTGAGCAGCCTGCCCTTCCCATTGTGAAGCATGATGTGTTCAGAGAGCTAAGTTAGTCCAGAGAGGCAGATGAGCAACGCCAGGTCAGTCAGATGAAATGAAGTGGCACTAATCCAATATTAAAGCGGTTCAGACAGAATGCTGTTCATTCAGCAGCCTGTGCTCTCCTTATGTAACCACCGGCCATTATTTAGACGCCACTGAATACACAAACACACAAACACACAGCATCGCTGAGGAAACATCACAGATCGCTTGTCTCTCTCATTAGCCTAGTTATGTCATGTTTGTTAAAACTGGCAGTAATACCACAATCCCCTGCAGATGGTCTAAACCTGCCTGTTACCCAACTGAATGTAGACTTTCATACATCCACAATAATGTTTCACATACTTGTGTTTTTTTAGTAATTAGTTAGTTTATTTTATGAATAATAATCAATGTGTTTTATTTAGATTAATTGTAGTGTGCTGCTAAAATTGAGTTTTGTTTTAACTGTGAAAGTGATCTTCAGCTGATCTGCAGGGCTCTATCTGCTGCTTCCAAAGTTTGTGCAATTTAAAAAATTTTGACAGGATTCAGTTTTATGGGATGTAGCAAAATAAATTAGTTTTATTCATTAATAAAATGTTTTTAGCATAACAAGAAAGACAAGAATAAAAAGCATGAACAAACCAAAGCAGAGTAACTTTTTAGAACAAACAAATCTTGTCTTAAATATTGGACTTGTCTGTATGCAGAGATGTGGATAAGAAAGGCTTTGTGGACACGATCAGGACTCTGACGTTGGCCCAGCTGAAACAGGAGCAGACGGACAGGAGTCGCACCCCCACAGGGAAGGACGTCCACTTACACCGTCTCTACCTGGACCCCCTCACCAAGGCTCGCCTGGCAAACACACAGGTACACTGCACTTCAATATTATTATGAGCATCATCATTGTCTTTATCAGTCACAGTAGTAGTTATACATAACATGTTTGAATGTGATAATTAAGTATGTGAATTTAAATGTAGTACCACCAATTTACATATGCGTCTTTTATAATAGATAGTCACAACAAATTATTATTTTACAAAGCCATTCAAAAAATGTATAAGAATAAAATGTATAATAATAAACACACCAGCATGAACTTAATGCAGTTTAAAAAATGGTGCATGTGCCTAATGTACTATTATATTAGTCTATTATATTGCCTCTTCATAGTCTTCATACTTCTCTCTTTTGAGAATTGTTCATTGGCCTTTGCAGTCATGCCTGTGTTGGTTCATGATGCCCAGTCTTAAATTATCAGACCCATATATTTGTTGACATGGAAACCAAATAACCTCAAAATGTAACTGGAGTGCCTCGATCTTCTTGTTTGAAAATTAGAAAATCGCTCCTTATCAGTGTTTGTATTTTCTTTTCCAGGATGCAGTTCAGGCGGCAGATCGAGCCAGTAAATACAAAGAAGAGAATCGTCAAATCCTGAAAGAGAGCATCGAGGTCGCTCCCTTCACCGCGAAGATCCAACGCTCCAGTGACCCCGGGATGGACCGAGACAGAGAGCGAAGCAGGGACTCTGCCTTCCCTGTCCGGATACCAGCTCTCACCTCCCCCAGCCCCAAGGCCAGCCACACCCATCCCCATGTCATCCAATCAGAAAAGAGCAACTACTTCACCACACTGTCCAACAGTGTAGTGAATGAGCCTCCAAGACTGTACTCCTCCAAGGAGCTCAGCTCTTATTATGAGAAAGCATCCGTTGGAGCTCCAGGGGTTGTAGCCAGTATTGGGGCCGCTGTGCCAAACCAGGGAGCTCTGTCCCTGGGCAGCCACAGCTCCAAAACCTCCCTCTCCAAGCCCCCTCCTCTCATCAAGCACCAGCCAGAGGGAGGAGAGGGTTTAGCAGGGAAAATCACTGAGCAGCTCAACCAGCAGGTAACACTAGTCCAACAGCAGCATCAGCACCACACAGGTATTGACAGGATAGAACGCCGCAGCCCTGCCATTTCTCCTTCCTCTTCTACGTCCTCCTCTTCCTCTTCAGCCCCCAACCACCATCATCATCACCACCATCACCACCAACAGCAGCAGCAACACCAGCTCAGGGCAATGCCATCGCTCCACCGAGCGCCTGTCTTCCATCCCCCCACGCAGCACGCGCTGGAACGGAAAGAGGCTGCAGAGCGAGAGAGGGAGCGAGAGAAGGAAAGGGAGAAAGAAAGGGAGAGAGCAGGTTATGGTGGACGCCTGTCTCCACCTACCCTCACACCCATCCAGCCAGTTAGCTTAGCGGCAACTGGTAGCAAAACATCAGCAGAACAGCAGAAACCTCCCACACTGCTGCCGGAACTCAGGGACGTCAAAGGTCATGGAAATGCTCTCGCCATCACCTCTGTGGCCTCTGCCATCAGTGGGGAGATTATGACTTCATCAACAGACAGGTGGAGAGGTGGAGAGATAATTCAGGATAGAGGAGTAGTGTACTCTGGAGAGAAAGGAGTGTCGAGGAGCAAGCCCCAAGCCGCAATGGCATCAGTCATTGTACGTCCATCGACTGCCATTAAGTACGACAGTTCTGTTGGTGCTAACAAATCTGGTGCTATGATCCATCAGGATCTTCCCCAGGGGAGGTTTTACCCATCCAAGCTTCAGGGGGAATGTCCCCGGTTAGGCGAGAGTGTTAGAGACCTTGGAGCTGGTAGGATTATCCAACCCAACTCGAACATGGATGACATGTGTGTCCAGTATAAAAAGACTTCTGTGTGTGGCCTGCAGGGAACTGTGGGAGCTAGTACCACAAACTCTGTGTGCAGGACTGTCGTTTCAGCCTCCTCAGCTTTTGGCATACAGAGTAAATGTGGGACAGCCTCCCGTGAGCTGGGTTACTCAGTTTCCGCTCGCAGTGAGATTGCAGCTCATAAAACTGGCATTGGTGGCTGGGTGCTGGGTCACTCAGGACCAGGAGAGCACCCGGAGGGCTTTGGCTCACGTACCACATCTCCTGGGGGATCACTGCCTCCCCCTAGTCCAGCAGGGACACCCCAACCAAGTCCATGCCTAACCCCAACACCTAGCTCCATTTCTGGCTCCACTCAGCCTTTCTCCACCTCCTTTGTCCATCTCAAGAAGCACAAAGCTGCTTTGGCTGCAGCTCAGTCCAGAAGCAACTTCTGCACAGCTCCCACATCCATCACAACTGGAAACTCCTGCTTGTCTGTGGATTCAGTCGACAAAGCTCCCATTCACAGCTCCCCACCTCCACCCTCCTCTAGCCAAGCCTCCTCCTCGTCATCAGTTGACAGCAGTAGCAGCAGCTCTGCAAGCGGGAGCACAACACCAGGCAAGTCCAGTCCCCTGCCTAACGGCCAGTCCTCAGGATCAGCCTCAACAAGCAGCGGGCAGCCCAGTAACTACCACAAGCTGAAGAAAGCCTGGTTAACCCGCCACTCAGAGGAGGACAGGAACACAACTGCTACAACAAGTTCCACCTGTACGAAACCAGAGAAGCTGCCCAGCACTACCACCAGCACCAGTAACACTAGTAACACCACTGCCATGTCAGAAATGATCAAACCATGTACAGTCAATCTCAGCGCCTCCACCTCCAGTGAAGTGGAAATGAGCAAGGACAGTGGAAGCAAAGGTGAGAGAGAGAGACAGTCAGAGGAGAAGATGGGGGGAACAGCAGGAGGTGGGGAGGAAAGGAAAGCAGCTCCTTCATCAAGGCGAGGGAACAAACGGTTATATGAGTCTGCCTCAGATAGCGGAGGAGATGACTCAGACGCCAGTGAGAGCAAGATGGAGGGGCGGGCCAAACGCCAGCCTAAACCAACCTACAAGAAGAAACAGAATGACATGGCCAAGAAGAAAGGAGACAATGAAAAGGAGGAAGATGACGGGAAGCCCAACGGCATCTTCAGATCAGCCCGAGAGAAGACCAAGCTGAAACTGGCCAGCAGCAGTAAGTTTTGTAAAGATATTTACTGCAGCAGTGACAGTTTTCTAGACAGACACTTTGAAAATATTAGTGGCAGTTAAAGGATGAGGCTGGTGATATTCTGTACTTTGGTTATTTTTGGCAAATCTCATGGACACACTCCAGCCAACAATGTGTTAGTCCACCTCTCAACACTTCCCTACCAGATCTGTGGCTTCAGCTCCCAACCCACTGATTCTTACTGAAAAAATATCATAAAACTAATGTTTTGTCTTTAATTTCCTAAAACAGCTGCTCACTGTAGTTTTAAGCAAATGTTACTCAAACTAAGGAAATTGTGTGTTTGTTGGGGACTATTTTGAGCTGCCGATCAATCCACATTTGGTGCAGTAGTGAGTATTAGGGGCAGCAGGTCACTGTGTATGAGACTGAGTCAAAGTAAACTACAGTGTGTGTGTTTATGGTGATGAAGGGACATGTCATGCAACAGTGATGTTTATTGATGTGTTTTATTATATTTATTGTATTATAATTTTTGGAAACAATGGAGCTCTTTGGTCCAGAGGAATGAGTTATATCAGTTGTTTGAAGCAATCAATTCATATTGTTTGTGAATCAAAGCAAAGAACAAACGTTACATCACCCTCCTATTACCCTCATTTCTCACTGTCAACTACTTCTGCTACAGCATGCTTATTTTATTGAGACCTACTACTTAAAGGTGGCTACTTGTACCTGCCACATTTCAACTTCATCAAATTATTGCAGCAGAAAAGCAAAGCCCTAAGGGCTGAGGATGAAACTGTTGGAGTGTCAGTTGAGAGCAGTTCAGAGACCCTGTTCAGACCTGGTATTAACATCCGTCTCAGGTGATCCGATCACAGGCGGTCAGCTCTAAGTTCAGGTGCAAACACACCCAAGACGCATTGAGGATGCATTTGAGATCCGATCACTCAGACCACATTCAGAGGTGGTCTGGACCACATTTGTCCACATTCTTTTAGCAATTTTAACGCAAGAGTGGACTGGTTTGTTCCAAAAAACCAAATTCAAAGCTTATTCAATCCTTTTGTACCTGAGTATTAATTAAAGACCAGTTTATCAACTACTACACACATAGCACGAGCACACCATGACAAGACGTGTCACCTTTTACCCCCATTAGCCTACTGGCTTGCTTTTAAATGTTCTTATAAGGAAGATTTCTGTAACTCTGTGTTCCTGGATTTTAAACTAAACACTACCTGCTCTGTTTCAGCAAGGGACCATGTAGCCAGCAAGTTATTCTTGTGGCTACATTGGTGAAAGAAAAAACTTTTCAGAATGAACATGTCCTATGTAAAAAGACTACATGGAGTTGTTACATGTATGGGCATCTGAATGTAATTGTAACAAAGGCTCATCTTCTCTTCTTTGGAGTATTTTACTGACTGTGTTACCCATTACTCTTTGATTATCTGATAATAAAACGTAGGTACTGTTAATGACGTAATAATGTGCAATCTTCTCAGACGGGATCCCCCGCTCAGTGCTGAAGGACTGGAGGAAGGTGAAGAAGCTGAAGCAGACAGGGGAGTCTTTCCTGCAGGATGACTCGTGTTCAGAAATTGGCCCCAACTTGCAGAAGTGCCGTGAGTGCAGGGTGATCCGCAGCAAGAAGGGAGAGGAGCAGGCACATTCTCCTGTCTTCTGTCGCTTCTACTATTTCAGACGGTAAATCTCTCACCTACTTAATGTTTGTTTCCTTTCCCTTGTTATTTCCTCTCCCATTTTTCTTAATTGGATAGTTTCATATCCACCTAACATGCATTCTTGTGTAAGATCCCTCCAAGATGCATTGTCACACATTTACCTTCACTCCAGTTTTCTGTAAAGAGTAAGCTGTAGAGAGTAAGAAGCTGCATGTGTGAACAGAAAACCACAAATGGAGGGAGAGAACAGGAGAGAGGCTCTAGCTACAACACATAGATTATTAATCTTGTGCAGTATGCCCTGCCTCCGTCTGTCTGTCTCTCTCTCTCTCTCTCTCTCATACACACACTTGCTGTGGACACACAGACATGCAGCTGCAGTCTGGGGTCTAACAAGGTAAATCTGCCAAAGAGGATTTTCTGCTCTATAATCTTTTCCTCACTGACTGCAGAACTGCTGCTACTGCAATCCACCCCCACCCCCTGAACCGCACACTCTGCATCTCCACTTCTAATTCTTACTCTCTCACCTTATCTCGCCTGTCTGACCCAGTGGACTGGGATTTCATAATAAACATTCATCTGAGCTGATTGGGTTGTTTAAGGACACCAAGGGTAGTGGCTTTTACAGAGAGAAGGCTCATCAAGAAAGACATCCGCTCATTCTTATTCTGAGTCATTCTGTTACTGCGTGCCAACATAGAATTGAATATAGCCTATTTTACATTGTTATGTTATATACTAATAGGTATATAACATGACAATGTAAAGTAGTATAATAGGATGCTTAATTCACAATAGGGACACATAGATATACATTTATCAGTTCAATATAGGAGAACTGTAGTGTATTGTAGGGTTAGTGTGGAGTGCCATCTCCTCTGGTATCAATGTGCAACATGATTGATGGGGCAGTGCTTTGTGCTCCTTTTGATTTACAGTGGCTGTAAGACTGTGAAATAAAAGGGTGCTGCTGTCCCGACTCTCAGATCTACTTACAAAATCTCTGCTCAAAAAATGTGATATTGTGCGTTTTCTAATATTTACGCCTTTGTCAGATACGGCACAATGTTTTATATCATGCAACTTCCGAGTGGTGATGTAAGTGTAAACACTGGCTCTTTTAGCAGCAATGAGACCATCTGCCACAGTGTTTATCAAACCTTTTTTTAATTTAGCGGCTATGTGAGGTCATTCCAAGTCCAACTGCAATTTAAACAGCATGCAAACATGTTGTGTGGTGTGCAGTGTGTCCCCAGTGGTTATGAAAGTTGATATCATATTTCTGTAATGTCATCATCATTGCTGTACAGAACTGTGTGCTAATAACCTGTTTTTCTACCGTCCAGGCTTTCCTATAGTAAAAATGGAGTCATTAGGATGGATGGCTTCTCCACTCCAGACCAGTTTGATGATGAGGCCCTGGCCCTATGGGCCCCTGGGGCAATGGACGAGAGCCACCTGGACCAAACCACCGCCAAATACATCCTCAGCTTCATAGGAGACAAGTTCTGTCAGATGGTTGTGACTGAGAATACTGCAGCTACCTGGGTCAAGAAGGATGGTAAGTTGTCTTAATAATGGCTGACATTTTGATTAGCTTACCCTTACTGTGTTTTTAAATTGAACCTTATTTTCTGTGTGTTTCAGCTAAGCTGGCGTGGAAGCGAGCGGTGAGAGGGGTGAGAGAGATGTGTGACGCTTGTGAGGCAACACTCTTCAATATCCACTGGGTCTGTCAGAAATGTGGCTTTGTGGTCTGCTTGGACTGCTACAAGGCCAAGGAGAGGAGGAGCTCCAAAGGTCAGTACTGTTTCTGTCTGGACAGTTAGGAGCCAGATCAGAGGCCTCATCAGCTGACTGTACACAAATTCTTGCATGCATTCGTGTCACACAAAGGCAGTGAACAGACTGGCACAAGTCCAGCATGGATTAAACCCCACAGTAAAGATAGCCTCAGAGGTCATACAGTGCTCCTTCTTCTGTAGAGTCTGCTTTTTGTACTTTACTTTCATTTTTTACAAATTGACATGAGCTGACATCCAAACCAAATGGGAACTACTGATCTGAAGTTCTTTTACTTACACACGTGCACATGGTAACAAGGCTTATTACACAATTTCCTGCATAACCTTTCTTCAAGTAACCTGGTTTCTTGTGTGCATGTAAATATACTGCGTCTGTATGCAAGCTTCTCTTCTAACCCAACCCTTATCTCTCATATAGTATGCACATGTTTGCATTATTACAACTGACATGTGTCTCTCTTTGTTTGTTTAGATAAAGAACTGTACAGCTGGCTGAAGTGTGTGAAAGGCCAACCCCACGATCACAAACACCTGATGCCAACACAGATCATACCTGGCACAGGTACACCACATGCTACTGTCTCTTTGTCTTCTGTTTTACACCACGTCTGCTTCCACTGTACTCTCTTTATCTCTTTGCTGCACGAATACACAGTAGATTATTGTGTGGATGATGTAGATTAAAGATTAATACTGATATGTTTGGACTAAAGTGCTCAATAATGAAAAATCTTAACCTTCATTTTTTGTTGTCTGTTTTGGGTAATGAGCTCAGCCTACTGGTCGACATTACTGCAGCAGTGCTGTATTTTCTTTCTTACTGGCTCATGTTCCATTTTGGGTAAAGGTTTTTTTCTGAAATGTTAAAACTTTGCTGCATCTTTTTGCTGTTTCAGTCCTGACAGATTTGGTGACTTCCATGCACTCGCTGAGAGACAAACACAACATCAAATCCCACTGTCCCTGCACCAACAAACACAACATCCTCACCAAACTACCAGCCACCAATGGAGTCTCACAGGTACAGTCCAAGTGACAAGTTATTCATTATTATTCTTATAACTACCTAATAAGTGGCATTGTAGGGAGTGGTTATACATGTTGATGGGAAAGTTTGAGCTTTTCTCCCTCTCTGACTTTCTTTATCCAAGAAGCCACTGACAATTTGTGTAATAAGATCAACCTCTCTCTGGCAGGTTCTGCAGAACGTCCTGAACCATAGTAACAAACTGTCTCTGGTAAAAGCTGAGCCGGGCTCTCAGCAGAACTCTGATCCAGGAGCAACCAAGGCAGAGACTAACGGAGGAGGTGTTGGAGGAAGCAGCCCAGGCAGCGACGGAGGAAGTGCTCCTGTCACCCCACCAGAGTCTCAGTCACCTCTGCACTTCCTGGCTGACCTGGCAGAGCAGAAGTCCAGGGAGGAAAAGAAAGGTGAGGGGAAGGCTACAAATCAGTATGCTTATAATTTTTCATTCTTATTTCACCTCCAGAAAATATGGCGGTGATCAGTGACCTTTTCCTCTATTTCCCCCTGCCTCGTCCTCTCTCACAGAAAACAAGGAGTCAGTGTTGCTGGGTAAATCACTGAAGGAAGACAAGGAGGGAGAAAGCCTGGAGGTGTTGCAGCAGTGTAAAACCACCTCAGTGGTAGCTAACAGCACAGAACAGGGCTCCACACTCAGAGATCTGCTCACCACCACCGCAGGGAAACTGAAGCTGGGCTCTACTGATGCAGGAATCGCCTTTGCACCAGTCTACTCTACTGCTTCACAGGTACACAGACACATTAATGATGTAATCAATGATTAGACGCATTGGTTTGGAAATCTGCTTCACTGCCCAGGGGAGGTATGCTGCGTGATGAGTGCAAATATGTTTAATATATAAATATAGAAGTGAACAAAACTCCCCATGGACAGCCAATATGAGCGGTCAAGTGCTGTTTGGTTGCAGGAACAACTGAAGTAGAAATTGAACTGCGGTGGTCAAGTTTGATTTATATATGTATAGATAGATAGATAGATAGATAGATAGAGAAAGAAGAGAAAGAAATCTGGTTAAAAATATTGAAATATTTATTTTCCTCTTTTCTCTAAAGACTGGAAAGGGTGGGCGGACCATGCCCAATATCCTCGATGATATCATTGCTTCAGTAGTTGAGAATAAAATCCCCGCCAGCCGCCAGAACATCACCACCAAGCTGTCAATCAAGCAAGAGCCGGTCCCTGCAGGCGCTAACAACAACAACAACGCCGTTAATGAGGATACCAAACCAGACAGGAAGAAGTCAGTGCCTGTTACTGCAGCTGTGCCAGAGGAATCAACCAGTCAGTACCCAGACATTCCCCACTGCTGGTTAAACAACAGACGGTTACTGTGGCTCAAAGATCACCGCAACCAGAACAACTGGAAGCTATTCAGAGACTGCTGGAAACAAGGACAGGTACACATCAGTCTTACCGGCACTAGCAGCAGTAGTCATAGCAACAGAGCTGTACTAACTGTTATCAGTAGATACAATATAGATTATAACAGCCATATGTGTTTGTGTAGCCTGTTCTGGTGTCAGGGATCCACAAGCGACTGAACGCCAGTCTGTGGAAGGCGGACTCCTTCAACCAGGAGTTTGCAGACCATCAAGGAGACCTTCTCAACTGTAAAGACCAGGTGGTGTCCAACTCCGGCATCAAGGAGTTCTGGGATGGATTTGAGGACATCACCAGTGAGTCTTACTCTTCCGGCGTCATTGATTAGATAACTGCTTTCAACCAGCCACTGAAACAGCACTGTCATTGATGAGCTATTATTGATTCAGTCTGACTTAAATCTTCATACCTGTGCAGAGCGGCCCAAGTCCAAGGATGGAGAACCTATGGTCTACAGACTGAAGGACTGGCCGTCTGGAGAGGAGTTCATGGCCCTCATGCCCTCAAGGTGAACATACACTATCAGTGACTGTACCTCGTGTTCACTCTTCCAGCCAGACCCTGTGCTGTTGAGTCTCCAGCTTTACATTAAAAATGCAAATAACAGTCCAAATGTGTTTCATGAAATCTAAAGAAGTTACAAACAGTGTAAGAGTGATTGCTGGCCCATCTAAATGAGATGTTTTTTGCAGATACGATGACTTGATGAAGAACCTGCCCCTGCCAGAGTACTCTGATCCAGAGGGGAACCTCAACCTGGCGTCCCACCTGCCATCTTTCTTTGTCAGGCCAGATCTGGGGCCGAGACTCTGCTGTGCCTACGGTAAGAGAGAAATTAACAGCAGCAATGATTTAACTTTACTTGGCAATGTTCATCGTTTCACATTAATCGTTTGTACGAGAATCTGCAGACAGGAAATAAAAGATTTGAGAGCCTCATAGCCTCACAGCCTAATGAATCTGAATCGTTTCCATGTAAAATGTTTGATGTGGATAGAATCCCCCTCTGGCCTCTTTCTTATGAATCAGTTGTCTGTCCTCCTCTAGGTGTAGCTGCGTCTCAGGACCAGGACTTTGGGACTGCCAACCTTCATGTGGAAGTGTCGGATGTCGTGTCTGTGCTGGTTTATGTTGGAGTAGCCAAAGGCAACGGAGTCCTGTCCAAAACTGGTAAGACTGAATTCAGCTAAATGATCAGCTTCAAGAAAGAGTGGACTGAGGTACAGGGTGGGAAGGATAAACACTACTCACTGGTACTGGTACTGCTGGATCTTGTGAAGTAAACACACATTCTCAGTTATGAAAGAGTGACAGCTGTATCCTCCTCCCTCCCTCCCAGACACACATTTGCTGTCCTTGTAAATATCCAAACACTTTTCTTCAAAGAGTTGTTTTGACTATCACACTGTAATCTGCTGTTTTAGATGTGCATGGGTGTGTAACAGTGACAAAAAGTAAGAGTCTTTTTCTGAATATTTTTATTTGTAATTATTATTTGTTTTATTCCTGTCAGTTTAATATACAGCGCTTTAATCTGATACTTTAAGACAGCAGTTCCCTCTCACGGCACACTATAAAATGTTGGTGGACCACATCTGACCCCAAAGCAATACAGAGGCCAACCAATGTGTTCTCAGATCACTTTTTATTTCAATGGCAACGATGAAATGTTCAGGACTGAACTGAAAGCAGGGGAAACATGTAGGAAGCTCAATTTTTCATTTTTGTTTGATTTGGGAAGGGGGGACTTGTTGATTCACCCTCTCTCTCGACTTGCCGTGAATATAATCATTTAGTGTGCAATCACACTGAGATAGTAAACAAGTATACAATCTGGTCTGGTCAGAAAACTGGTCCACCTGGCAACAACATAAAAGTTCTTGAAAATTCATATCACAGTGACAGGAAAAAACTGAAAGGAGTTTTTAAACTTTTTATTTTTTTTTAAAGATCATTTCATTCCAAAACATTTAAGAACATTGTCGATATTTACATTTTTTTATCATTACATTCTTTTCACAAAAACACGATAAGTAATAGCTTGATCGCCTAAAGCAGCTGCTTCACTGTTTCTTCTTCATAAATAGGATTTTTTGCATGAATATTGTGCAAACGGTGAAGTCATTTCTTCAGTAAAACATTGTTAGTGATTATATGGTTTGCTTTTGTTGTACCATATTATAAACAGAATAGATCAAAACACTAAATAAAGAAGGATTATTTAATAATCAATCCATTATTAAAAAATGAAAATTATGATGAAATGCGGCCTTAGAAACATGAGTGTGTGTGTTTGTGTGTGTAGGAGTGTTGAAGCGTCTGGAGGAGGAGGATCTAGATGAGGGAGTCCGGAGGAGGCTCAAAGACTCCAGTGAGACACCGGGGGCGCTGTGGCACATCTACCTCAACAGGGACATGGACAAAGTCCGAGAGTTCCTGCACAAGGTCAGCACTCTGATTAAATACATTCACCAACTACTCCAGCTTTAAATGAAAATGTTGTGAACTTCAGTATCAAGTATTGACGAAACATTCCCCCACCCCCCCCCAACCCTCACCCACCGACCACCTCAGCTCTGTAAGGAGCAGGGATTGGAAGTGTCGCTGGACCAGGACCCAATCAGAGAGCAGGGCTGGTATCTGAGCAGGAAGCAGCGTCAGCGGCTGCTAGATGAGCACGGAGTTCAGGGCTGGACTGTAGTTCAATTCCTGGGAGACTCTGTCCTTATACCTGCAGGGGCTATGCACCAGGTACACACAGTACACACACACACACACACACACACACACACACACAAATCACCTCACTGGTAAGATGAGGAAAATATTTTTCCCTCTTACTAAAATGTGACCTAGACTGGATGTCTCTTTTTGTTTGCTCTTCATCTGACACCCTGCAACAAGTGCACACTGTGTTCATGTTTTTCATGTGTCATTTAAATAAGTCTGATAATATTCTATATTTCTTTTACTGTCAGCAGTAGAAGTGAGATCCACTGACAGATAGGGCAGTTGTTGGTTTTGGTCTTAATGGGATTTGTTGACAGTATGAAAAATATAGGATAACACCACAGTTACCTAATCCCTGTGTTTGATAGGGTGAATACTTCATGATCCTTTCCTTGCATCTGAACATTCGACTTAGTTAATGTAAATACAAAGCACAGTTTGCACCATCAGCTGTCAGATCATATAAATCCATATTTCAGTGGGTTCAAACTGAATATATTTCAGATTTCTTTTACATTTTCATAATGTTAATATTTTTATTTTCATTATAAAGTGAAACCTGTTATTTATGTTTTATATCTTCTCTAGATCCTTTCAGATGCTAGTTGAGACTTGTTTTCCGTTATGTTGATGATCAGTCTGTGTCAAGTCATGACCCGATTCTTTGTTTCTGTGTTGTTATGTGTTTTTCCGAGTCAGTCAGAGTCTTCATAGTGTCACCACACCTTCTCTCCTTTCTGTCTGTCAGGTCCAGAACCTCCACAGCTGTGTTCAGGTCATCAATGACTTTGTGTCCCCTGAGCATGTGGCCAACTCCTTCCATCTGACCCAGGAGCTCCGGCCCAGTAAAGAGGAGGTCAACTATGAGGATAAACTACAGGTGATACACCTGAGCTCAGTTTCCTGTCAATCAGAATTACATCATATTAACATTATTAGTGTTATTTTGGCAGTGCAGCAGGCTACACTCACCAAGCACTTTATTAGGAATGCCATACTAATGCTGCCCATCAGGAACAGGTGTTCCTATTAAAGTGCTCAGTGAGTGAAATTAGCTGTGCAGCTTATTTCTTTCACTGTCAGCCTCTCTCCTTTGTACTGTCTCAGTCACAGCCTGTGTGTGTGTGTGTGTGTGTGTGTGTGTGTGTGTGTGTGTGTGTGTGTGTGTGTGTGTGTGTGTGTGTGTGTGTGTGTGTGTGTGTGTGTGAGACACACAGAATGGCTGAGTGAGTCATCATCAGTAATGTGTTTTAGACATTGAGTGTGTCTGCTGTGTGTACACTCCACACACACTCATACTCCCATAGAGAGGGTTGTAAATGAGATGTGAGTCACCATCTTCTGTCTGTCTCTACAATGTTCACACAGACGGACTGCTGGGTAGGAAGAAGTAGAGATCGGATCTGTTTTGGTCTATGCAATAAGACAACGAGCAGCTGATCGTTGCTGTAGGATAACACTAATAGAAAATCATGTTGATTTTAGCTGTGTCAACACTAGATATTGTGCTCAGCCAGCTCCTGTATCATCGTAGCTATAATTACTAGAGTTGCATAATGCATGTTTGTGCAGTGAATCCATTAAGATTTCTCACTGTAGCTGCAGCTTAAGTCCAGCCCACTATACTGTAAACAATATAGACAAGCACTGGTCACATCTCAGAACAGGTCCTCTTCACCAGATCATACTGACCTCTGTCTAGATGCTACATCACTTCACCTGAGAGATCAGGTGAAGTCCAAACTCTCCTGGACTTTATGTCTAAGGGTTATTTTCTATGCACTGTGTACTTTGTGCATAAAGACAGGCGTGTACTGTGCATGTCTCATCATCACTCATTTGGCATAAGTGCACAGAGTCCTAGAAACATGCCTAGAATGGTGAAATGTTGGGAGATTTTGTTAAACAGCACTCTCCACCGCCCATATCAAAACAACAAATGAGGGAATATCTTTGGGGAGAATGATGTTCGTCCCTGCAGTAGAGCCTGGGAAACTTGTCCCATCACCTGTCTGTATGTTGACCTACTCTGCAGCTCCTCTTCTCATGTTGCTCTGCAGGTCAGAGCGTAAACAGTGAATCTAATTAGCATTCTCTCTCTCTCTCTCTCTCTCTCTCTCTCTCTCTCTCTCTCTCCATGTGTACTACTTATTCCCTCAATTAACTGTCAAACGTAGACAGTTAATGGCAGTCTGTCAGAATTGAAGAGTAAGAGCTTGTTTCTGAAGCTGCTGTAATGCAACAGTTAAACATTTCCATATGGAAAAAAAAGTTATAGTACACCTTGCAAAGTAGGAAATCATACATCGGTTGCTTTGTGTGTAAATGCACATTTGTTTTCACCTGATTGGACTGACTGGAAGCATTGTGAACTTATCCTTTAAATTCTAATCTGATGCACAGCTCTTAGTCACTTCTTATTGTACATACATAAACTACAAGAACAAGTGACATCGGTGTCAAACCTCTCCATTCTCTTCCTCCTCAGGTAAAGAACATCCTGTACCACTGTGTGAAGGAGGCAGTGAGCTCCCTGAAGAGGAGCAGCTCTGAGGAGGACGATGAGGAGGAGAACTCATGACACCACCTCATCCACACCTTCCAGAGAGGGACACAACTCCCATCAGCACCTCCCCTTACCACACCCTCCACTTCACAAGGAGGATTGTGTAATATGACCGCAAGAGGTGGTTGGATCATAGCTGGTCATGTGACCTAGGGGGCCTCACGGTGTGAGCTCCACCTGCATCACAAATCCAGTTGGCCAGTGAGAGGCACGCCCACCTCCATCATCACCCCAAACCTTCAGTGCCAAGAGGAGACAAACACAAGACCAGACGGTCTCTGGACCGACAGGGATCAAACCTCCCCTGCCACCTCAGTGTTTCATAGACTCAGAACACAGCAAGGACACAGAGGAGCCTTACTGAAGCCACTACAAACCTCCACTGAAACACAACTGAACTCTTCAGTGTGACTGATGGTGCATCCTCTCAGATCCAGTTTCCATGGAGACTCAGACTGTCCTGTAAGCAGCAGTGCACAGGTCTGATGGCAGCAGCAGTGATGATGGAGACTTAGAGACACACTGAGCCCCCTGCTGCTCTCTCACTGTAATCTGCTGTGGATTATAAAGGCCAGGAGGTTTAATCCCTGTCTGTAGCAGCAGCCCACATAACGTCTTGGACAAAAGATTTCGCTGATCACGACAGCATCACCAGCAGCAAGCAGCATCAGGATCAAAACTGTCATCTCTGATGCTTAAAAAAAGAAAAAAAAGGATTTGAGGGGGAAAAATGCAAAACAGAGATCTCAGATGTTTCAGTCAGCAGTCTGCTGCTCCCTTGTGTTGTTCCTTCTGTAATTTGTCTGTTCTTGTCCTTTTTTTTCTAGTTCTGACTGTCTGTCTGTTGCTGTTTGTTCTTAATTTTCTTTTTCATACGAACCTTGTTTTATTTCCTCTGTGAAGATGTATTTATTTTATAGCTCTGTCATAATGCGGTGTTATTGAGACAAAAAAAGCATTCATGTAAATGTGACTTGTACAGTTTCTTTTTTTTTCTTTTGCTATGTGGTTTTCAGTTGTGATACGGCTCTACTGTGATGGAGGACACACACACACGCACGCACGCACGCACACACACACACATACACACACACACACACACACACACACAAACACACACACACACACGCCAACCAGCTAATGCCTGTAACTTTGGGAAATGTTGATGCTCTACAGTCCTCATGCCATAAATACAATTTTTGAAAATGAACTGCCAAACTATTGTAAAGACTGTAAAGTTGTATTATGTAAAGAAAAAACAAAATGGCTTATACACACAGCATTTTATGAAAAAGTATTCTCTGTAAAATGGAGACATTTACAAAAAAGATGTAATTTATTTAAGAAAATAATTGTCTTGTTTTTTGTTTTGTTAAGATTTACTATGGTGAACCTTTGAAGTTAAAAGATAAAATAATGAAAAACTTAACTGTAATGTGTAAATATATACTTTCACTGAGGTATTTTTTTAAAACATGGCTTGCTTCAATTTCAAATTTTAAAGTGCAAGTGTTACATGCTTTGTACATTGAAGTTCAAAAGGGTTTTACATTTTCCATTAAAATGGATTTATCAAACGTTTGGTGTTGTGTTTTTGATGCTGAGGCTCAGGTAGCGTTCACTCTCCTGGACTGTGGAGAGAGTTAATAAATGGCTCTTACCATAAGTTTACAAATTCTGTTTCATTTGGTACATTAGATTACAGACTGAAAAATGACAATTAACAAAGAAGGAACCTTTTTAGAACATGGATGCAATCATGAAACATCTGACAGCACGGCCGCAATTCACTTCATTGAAATCCTCAAATATATTTCCTGGTCAACTTTGATACCTTTTATTAGAGTACTTCTCCTTGTTTCAAATGAAAAAGAAACACACACATACTATATATATCATATTATATATCTATATATATATAAATATAGGTGCATCACAAAAGTCAAAGGAATTCAAGTCAATTGAGCAATAAAAAGATTGTCTCTGATCTTTCTGTCATGGTCATTGACTGACACATGTTTGCATCAGCACACACACAGAAAATGTAAATACCTACACAACTGTTCGGTCTTTAAAATTATTGTGGAAAGTAAAGTAATATGAGGCTCCAGTACAATGATGGAGTCAAATTAGTTAGTGCTTTTAGTCCAAACTTCCCTCTTTGTTAGGATTCCTCCTCTGTAAGTCATCAAGTAAACATTGTGCAGGGAAACACAAAGAGGGAATTTCATGATAAAGAGGCTGCAACTTTGGAAGATACCAACTTCTTCATATTATCTTGTTGATAACATTTGAATATGTCTCCGTGCAGAGGGTGGATTGTGGATTTGTCCCAATTATTTAAATTAGTTGTCAGGAAAGGATGTCTTAATGAAGCAGGCAAAAACTATTTCATTGTCCTTTTGGGCATCTGATTATTGTTCTAAGGCAGACTTGAAAAAATGTGATCTTATTTAATGTAACTTGCATTGTGGAATCATCACCACTGGATGGTGCTGTTACTCCATGTTAGTTGTGTTTCCAGTGCCAGTGTTCCTCCTCTAAGCTCTGTAATATGACACCTTGCTTAACTAAAGGAGAAGAAAAAAGAAAAGATCAAATCAAATATTAACAAATTAAAGTTGGACTTTCCAGGTGAATCATTTATTAGTTCTTTTAGTGACTGACGCCATGTTTAACAGCCAGTTCGAACTTAATCCACATTTAGAGGACACCACAGTCTTTTTTTATCTCAGTATTCAAACTTTATAGCCCTGGCAACTGGTTCAGACCTGATCTGTGAGTCTAGCTGCTCTTGTTGAAGAGGTACTATATCCTCTGGAAAGCTTGAGGAGGGCTGAGGAGGAGGTGCAGCATGTATGCTAATGCTAATCCTTTACTCAGTAGGTCTGCAGTTGGACGTTGGAGGTGAGAGATTTTTCCAGAAACATTTTCTCCATCTTTGGTCATGGTGGCTCTAACACAGTGAATTTGTTCCCAAGGTCATCAAAATATTTGCTTTTGTTTTTGTCTAAGAATAGCAAAGTTATGCAGAATGAGGTTCACTTTTATGGTGTTTACCTTAACATTCAAACTGCGCCCTGAATGTTTTTTGGTAGAATTCACAAAAGGTACCATCCTGATGTCAGTGAACTTACCAGTGGAAAATCTTTTTCCTATTTGGTCTCTTCAGTGAAACAACACACAGTGACCATGTTCATGCCGGCTCCACTAACTTGGTCTTACAGGATTTCTGGGTATTAAAGTTTGATGTTTAAATATTAATTCTTCATTTTTTCACCTCTCTTATGTCAGCTCTGCTCAAATTCACTTCAGCCAAGATCAAGTCAGTGCGTTACATTAATCTCTTAAGCCAGTTTTTCACAGGTTATTAGTTCAGTAGGTGTTACTGGGCTAAATCGTACTGCTAGGAGTTACCAACTGTTCACTGTTACCATCTGTTCATCAGATAAACACTGAGACTTCCAGAAAGTCAATGGGCTTCTTAAGACTGTTACAGAGAAACAAAAATAACAATAATATGACTGAACAGATAATCACGTTGGTATGAGAGAGCTGCTATGGGCGTCTATGAATGTTCTCTTCACTCTCATTCATTCAGTTCAGGTTCACTGTCAGGTTTGGATCTGAACTCTCTTTTATCGCAGTCCTCAGACTTCCAGAAATCCTTAGTCTGAAGACATTTATAGTTCAATTGGAGACCAATTTTCAGAGCTGTGTGTCTGTGTTCATGTTCTGCCTACATATCAGTATGGACACAGTTAAACAATAGTCAGCCACCCATATGAACAATGAAACATTTCTTGCTGTAACTATTCATCCTTTTCATACTGGACAGGGAAACATCCCTACCTGGTGGATATTAATGTAAGTGATGGAGCATGAAGTCCACAGTCCTCCTCCTGTGCTCAAATGTATCAAAGTTTATCCAAAACTAATTTTAGGCCTCAGCAGTCTGAGTTGAGGTGGGAGAGTAAAGGGGAAATTATCACCGAAGCCAGCAGGATGTATATTAATGCACTATAAAACATAATACAGGAATTTCTTATGTTTTTTAAATGAATGTTAACACCAACATTTCAAGTTAATTCAGCTGAGAATGTTTAGTTTCCATTTTCAGACTTCAGAACTTATAAATGAGTTTTTCTGATCTGAGGTCTTTTGACCTTAAATGTTGATCTGAATGAATGAACTGCTGAGAGTTCACTCCATTAAATGAAGTTTTTAAATAAACATAACTGGATCAACAGTACAGGTCCTGGGATCCAGTTAGAAGTAACTTGTTGACCTCTTAAGGCATAATCTGCTGGATTCTCTTCAGAAGCCATGTACCTCAACTGCGCACACTCTTTGCTTGATGCATTCAGTGTGGTTTGCACACATGAACACATGAAATCTTCTGCTTCATTACTGATGTATCCAAGTACAGCCTTAGAATCAGTCCAGAAGTATTCTCATAGGCAGTGTTCTTCCAGTTCTTTCTTGAGAATGTCACTGATGTAGACATCTCAAATCCTGGTATGGCTGTGACCATAGTGCGGATACTCTTGACTCTTGACCTTCCCCTGACTAAAGAGCAGTGGACTTGATTCACTGACTGCTCAGAGGTACGAGCCCTCTCCATACCCTGACATGCTGGCATTGGAGAAAGGGTGGAACTCATAGTGCTGGGCCTCAAAGTTTGATAGAATGTAGCATCTCTGGATCTTCACACCAGCCAGGTTTTTCAGGTCTTGGAGCCGAAATTCCCACAGGGGTCAAAGGTCATTAGGCAAGGTGTCATCACAGCTGAGACATCACAACACATCTGCTGCAGGATCTGCTGTCCCACCATGAAGGGTGCCCCAAATCCAAGTGGATCCTATACTAAAAACAACTATGGACAGTTGATGGTTAGATGGATTTCTTTGACAACCACTCTGATCTGGAACTCAACAAAAGCCACACACCACTGTACACAGAGTGCTCTTTCTATGTGTAGTTCACCCAGTGTCATGTCTGTATTGTAATGGTACTATTTTATGCAGTTAAGTGCAAGCATACGGAAGTGATGTCAACACAGGTAGTGATACGCAGAAAGAGGCTAGGAGTATTATTATTACGCTGCAGAAGTAGTTCATGTACAGTTCAGTGAGTCTCAGTCCAGTGTTATGTTATGAGTCAATAAAGTCAACAAAGATAGACACTGCGTCCTGGCGATATTTCTACATAACACTACATGGTGTCAGAAGTTGTCCGAAATCGCGAAATTCCCACCTCCGGAGAGTTTTGACTTCTCGCGGCTAGAACAATGGCCGGAGTGGCGCCAGCGTTTTCACCGCTACAGAACAGCAACGAAACTCAACAAAGAAGACGCAGAAGTACAGGTCTGTACACTGCTCTACTCGCCTGGGAAGGAGGCAGAGCACGTTTATAAGACTTTCACATTTTCTGATGAGGAAGATCAGAATGATTATGAGACTGTAATGGAGAAACTGGACAGCTACTTTGTGCCAAAGGTGAATACTATTCACGAAAGAGCTCGTTTCCATCAGCGCACTCAACACCCTGGGGAAACGGCGGAGGGATGTATCAGGAGCCTGCACGAGCTAGCAGACACCTGCGCATTTGCTGAAGCCAAGGATGAAAATATCCGTGACAGGTTGGTCATTGCGATATTAGACAAAAGGCTATCAGAAAAGCTACAGCTGATACCTGACTTGACGCTCAATAAAGCGGTAGAGCTAGTGAGACAGCCAGAGTAAGTCAAACAGCACGTCAGTGAGCAAGGGGCCAATGCAAACTGTGCACAAGTCAGTGAAATAGCATACAAGTGTCCGCCACCCAGAGATAAACAGAGGCACAATAATGGTCATGGATACAATAAAGGGGCCAAGGTGAAACAAGCACACAACATGTAAACAAAGGACACAAATGCTCTAGATGTGGTCGTGTGCATGCTAGAGAGGACAAATGTGCAGCACGTAATGCTGAATTCCGCAACTTCAAGAAACTGGGACATTTTGCAGTCGTTTGTCGCTCCGGTGTGGTTAACGAGGTAACTGCACCCGAAGAGGAAAGTGCACGGAGCCAAGTACACTTCCTTGGAGAAATCACAGACGTGGAGGATTCAAGCAATGCATGGACAGTGAAACTGCCAATACAAGGTATTGAAATAGACTTTAAGATTGATTCAGGAGCAGATACAAGTGTCATACCAGAAGAGACATTTAATCAGCTACAGAATAAGCCAAAACTTAAGAAAACAGTGAACAAACTTGACAGCCCAGGTGGTAAACTGAACTGTTTAGGTCACTTTGTAGCGACTACAATAAGAAAAGAGAAAAGATTCAGGTTCAAAGTGAATGTGACAAGAGGTTCACATAGCCACTGACTGAGTCGCAATGTTGCTAGTGCAATGGGCTTAATTAAGCGCATAGAGGAGGTTAACACTACTGTACAGCTGAAAGACTTGCCCAGATGAAGTGGGAAAACTGAAAATAAAGCCCATCAAAATCACACTAAAAGAGGATGCAGTCCCCTACAGCGTGTCAGCTGCCAGACGTGTGTCAGTGCCCATGCTGCCAAAAGTACAACAGGAGCTAGACCGCATGGTAAAGCTGACAGAGTGGTGTGCTCCAATGGTTCCTGT